TATTTCGTCTCAGAAATGAATATTCTGATAGCAATATTTTTTATCGTCTATATTTCCTTACTAGGAAAAATAGACATATTATTTTGGAAGCTTTAAAATTTCATATAATGAATGTCATTATATGAATCTTTAGATGGTTTCTGCTTCACAGCTCACGCTTTCCATTGTAAGTTATGTGCTCACTTTTAAATAATGAGAAATTTTCATTAAAAATTGGAAAATGAAAGATTTTCGGGCTAACCAAATCAGTCTGAATTTGCTTCACCCGTTAATATGGATTTCACTGCTTTAAATAATGCTCTTGAAAATAATATTAAATGTCTTTGTTTCGGAAAACTATCATATATTCGAAAATAAATATTATTTTCTTTAATTTCAGTTAAAGCTCAAGAAATAAATGAGAAACAACCGCAGTTTTCCCTTCTGAGGAAAGGAAACTATGCTTATGTTTCTGGATATAAAAAATAAGAGCTTCTAAAAATGGCATTTAAAATCATTTCATGCAGTTTATTTCATGCAGAATTAAAGTGCAATTGAATTCTATTGATTCTTTTTAATTTTTTTTTATTACTTAAAGGCGAGTTATCCCAGAAGGCTGTATCTCTAACGTTCACTTTAAAAATCTTACAGAACTATCAATACTTACTTTATTTTCAGCTTTAGGTACTCAGAAATTTCTTTAACGAACATAATATGTGCATTTTACCTCTTTTATCCCACCAGTGGCTAAATAGTCAAGACCTCTGAATACTGGGAGTTGCATGCAACGGACTGGATTGGATTTTGTGGTTTTCCCTATGTGTAACGTGAATACGAGCCGGTTTTCCTTTAAAAAAACCTCCATGTAGTCATCCCTCTCCTTAGGAAGATAGCTCTCATGTACATTATCATATTCAAAATGACCTGTCCTAAGAGCTCTTTTTTTTTTGCCATTGGCTACCAACAGTCGTGCATTTTCTTAGATCGCTTAGTTCTGTTGGATTGTATTGTGTTGAATTTCTTAGATCAAAACAAAACACACGAAGGCCTTTTTCAGATGTATTCTTTCAAAATGTCACATGATAACAAGATGCGAATTGAAGGATATATTTTTTCGCTTTCGAAGAAAAATATCCCTATCCTGTAATCCGAAAACATTGTCAAGTGCATGGTATTAATATTCCTAAGTACAAAATAAGCAACATTTCGGAAAGGGAGGAATCTTCAGTTGTTGTTTCTAAGTGGAAAGAAGACTCCAAACAAATACCTGAAAAAGATACGTATTGTTTCTAAAGTTAAATCGCTTGAAACAAGAGAAAATCCGCCGATGTAGATATCAATACCTGTCTTTAAATACATCCGGATCAACAATAAATGAAATAATAAAACAGTATTTACCACTTGAAAAAGCCAGAAAACATAATATTCACCAGCTTTTGCCGAGGCATGTGGCTTAACGCAGAGCAGTTAGTAGAACCTCGTATGAAAACCTATAAACCTCATTTCACCAATGAAATACTGTGCTTTTGGTCTCTTGAAAAGAGCTCTTTCAATGAGAAAAAAAAAAAAAAAAAAAGCACGATTGATGGACTTTGCAAAGTAGTGGAAGAGGATGTGCGGTTCCACCCTTTTAACTAACAACTGAATGTGGAGGGACCTAGTGAACAGCTAAGCGAATAATCGTTTAAGTCCAGTAACAGAAACGTAAGATTCGAGAAGGGTGAATTACACTTTATTGCTCAAAATAAGAATGAACAATTGGCCCCTTTCTCAGGGCGTACAGCAAAGCCTTCACTTGGGCTTCAACTCAAAAGTAATAAATAAGAACTTAACTAATACTTAACTAAAGAGATATAGCCGAAGCTATCACAAATCTAAGAAGTTGGCCCCTAAATATCGAATATGCTAGCAAAGGGCCTGTAATACTGACTAGTGTATTAACAGCTTAGGGAGACGTGGCCAAAAGACTAACGCGCGCTAGTCAAAACTTCTGAGACTCTGACTCGAAATCAGAGGAACATCGACTTAAGTACCACTCTTAGGCATTTGCATTAAACGCGATTCTAAAAACACATTCTGGTAGGAAATTGTAAGCTGAAATTAGGAGAGATAGGAAAGGAGCTTTAACTTAAAATAACTATTAAAAACTTAGGATAAACCTTACAAGGTCTGTAAATCAATACCCCTGGAAATTTTACGAAAACGTCTTCTGTCGTGGAAATCACGATGTAGACATATAGTCCAGAGAAAACGCTATCATAGTAAATATCTGCAGAAACTTTATATTTTAAACATTAATTAAATGGCACCGAAGTCATTTTGAAAATGTATAAACACCCCATGTAATTAGATGATATTGTTATACGGATGTGCTAAGTTTCATTTTCCTAATTTTTATTCGTCTTTTATAGCAACTTTAACATAATCGTTTAAATTTTAATGTTATGTAAACGTGTTCTGCGAGTGTAAAAGTGAACCAGATTAAGAGTAAATACCATTTCAAATATCTGCAAGCACTTAATTAATAATATTACATATCGTTTTTCCAGCGAAATTTGGCATTTTTAAAATATAACCCTTTTATTGGTTATAGGTCACATATATGAAATGACATAAATGCAAAACTGCTTCTTTGATTAAAAAAAATCCTTCTTAAAATCGATAACAATTATTATTTTAAACATAAGCTATTATAAACATAAGCTTTGGTGTAAGGATTTCTAGTTCGTATATGTGTTATACATGCAGCCAGCCTGTTTTGTCAAAAATCGAAAAGGGTCCCACTACTTCGGTCGCAGCAGCACAGATAAATCAAACCTCACAAAGGAATTGAAAACGTAAAATACTGAAAGAGCTGATATCCCTAACGAATTAAATTTTAAGATAATATTCAAGAATTTAAGTTATGTTACTTCAGTCAACATGCACAGTAAAACAGATACGTGTCTTCCCATGGCAGTGTTTAAGAGATTGCAGTGTTTCTGTTAAACATGTTTGAATGTACGAAAAGCGATTCTTCTAACCTGTCAACAACAGTGGGAAAAATTACCAACGGAAATGACCAGAGCTATACTTCTTATCTCTTCGCTTGATCGTCTTTCTATATCTTATTATCTAAGTTAGAAGGCAATGTATTGTTTTTCTCCTTTCATTAACTTCTGCATTAGTCTTTCCTGTATTGTTTACCTTTTTACTTTTAAGCTATCAAATACTAATAAAGAAACGTGAAAAATTGACAATAAAAGGAATGCTAACTGTCTTTGTTCCAGTTTATAATATTTTATTACCTTCTTTCAAAATGAAAATCAAAAGTATAATTTTATTTAACTGATTTAAAATGCTGTTAGAGCAAGAAATAGAATGCAGGCTTCTTCTTTTCCTTTCCTCTTTATCATTTTTTATTTTATTTTATTTTGCGTCATTGTTAACGGATCTATGGTCTTATTTATTTAATTGATCCGGGATTTATGGTAGGCTTTCTAAATAATTAATATCCTAATTCCGAACGTTAATGAGAAAGATGCGTTGCACCTTTCAAAATGAGTTGTTATAAGAGCCATAGTTACGTACAAAAAATGAACTACATTTTCCCAAATCACTTCACTAAGCTTTACCGTGGTTTTTACTCTATCAAATCCAAAATATTATGATTAATATATTGATTGTTATTGCTTACTTGTTGATTGAGAGTTTGATTTTTGTTCTTAAAGAGCATGTGTTTTCATTCCTATTGGTTTCTTGTAAATAAAATGATTTCATCTAAACAAGGATGCATGCGGTACGTATCGAATGCCAGAAATCTTTCTGTAAGACCTTCCCAATATTTTCTTCGCAATAATAGATCAGACCAAAATTAGAATAAAGCTACCAATAACGGACAAACTAGCTTAGAGATAAGGAGTACAGGATGGTTATTAACGATAAATTTGTTGAATTTCTTACTGTAATGTCATTTTTCAAGAAGCTTTCCTGGGTCGACTTCTTTCTATTCACATTGATGGCATGGACAAGAATCTAAATTATGAAATAAGTAAGTTACATCAAAGCTTAGAAAAGCTTCAGAAAAATAGTAACGCTATTCAATTTTTTGTCTAGAATGTATTTAGTTCTTAAACTGAAATTTATAAGATGACTGAAATTTCTTTAATGTAGCATATATATTTTTATGCAGCCCAACCGGGGTAACGGTAACGCTGACTGCCGTTACGAAGGGCTGGATGTTTGTAAATGTATAGTGTCTGTGCGGCATGAGGACACTCTAAATGTGCGGCGAGCCGAAAGTCCTCTCGAGAGGTTGCTGGTAGGGGAAGAAAACTGGACACCCTCGGACCCGTCCTTTCGGGGCTGTCTCCATCAAAATTGGGGGCGAAACTGAGCAAAGTCGTACTGTCACCAGCATAATGCTCAAGGCTCTTGCCAACTACAGGCGCAACTTTCACTCAATGCCACGACGAATTTCGTGAGCTTGTTCTGATGTTATTGTGAAACAAGTGAGATAAGTCACAACAACACAACAATAACACATATTTTTTATTTAATATAAATGTTATGACAAGAGGAGAGATAGCTACAAGTTATTTAATGAAAGATATATGCGTTATTCATATTTCTAGCTTTTTCTCAAATAGTGACTAAACTAGTATAATTATAACAACATGAAGAGTTTCAAAAAAACATCTAGGTATAGTAATAAAAGATAAATAACCGATAGGGAGAATTAGAACAATGTTTTGGAGAGGGACAGTGAGCAAGTTGGTGTTGCCTTATTTTATCTGTAATCAGTAAATTAATAAGTGTATCTTTTGCATTATTTGGGACTCATACATTTCATTCCAAATGGTAAATGATTGGTCTTGTGTGTTTTGTCGTAATTATCTGCTTTGGGGGAAAGTCTGCTTTGGTGTAAGGATTTCTAGTTCGTATATGTGTTATACATGCAGCCAGCCTGTTTTGTCAAAAATCGAAATGGGATTGAAATGCTCATTATTTATTGTTTCCTCGATTACATTTGAGTTTTAAAGTAAATATGCTTTTTTGTGCCTGTCTTTAGGTGGTTTATTCGATACAGAAGATGATGAGCAAGAGCTTGCCTTCCGAATCGCAATCGACAAAATCAATGCAGACTCGACTATGCTCAAACGGTCCCGACTCGTTCCAGAAGTGGAGAGAGTTGCGGTCGACGACAGCTTTAGGGCTACAAAGAAAGGTCAGTTTTTTATTTTTAATTATTATTTTTTTGAAATATTGCTACTATTACTATCGATAATTATTTATTTCATGCAAAATGTCACTGAACCAACCTTTTATTCCCCAAATGCGTTTTGTACCTCCTGAAAAGAGCCGTTGCTATTGCGTAGAAGATAATTAAAATATATATATATATATATATATTTAATTTTTTTTAAATTTCAGCTAGTTGAATAGTTAAATTCTAATTGTTTTATCTTTTCTTATGAAAGGTCATTATTTTGTTTCTTATAAACATTCTTTTATATTTAATTACTTAAAATATAGTTTTTCTTTTTTTATCGTCTGAAAAGCAGTCGTGACTCATTTTATTTTTAAATGAAAAAATGAACTGATTCGTACAAATGACTTTAGTCTCCGATATCAAGACACTGTTTTTCACATTGCATTTTCTATTCCCGACAATTTTGTTGTATACTCGAAATGCAACTATGTTTTGAAACAATTGTTTTGTTTCCGAATGATTTGAACTTTGTTTTTTTCATGTATTTGTCGTATCTTATCATTAGCTTACTGGAAATAATATGACTCCCATGTTTTTAAAACAAAGATAGTTCTTTCTCAATGAACAGAAACTTCCTCTGCGTGTTTTTTCAAGAAAACAAAGTTTTTGGAATCAGATAGTTTACCAAACTTATCATTTGTTAAAATAATCTGCATATTTTGTTATTAGTAATTATTCTTAGGGCAATGTAAGAAATTTTTAACTCTAATATATCATATAATTAATCAATAATTTTCATTTGCCTATTCCGTTTACATTAAAAGCATTACATACAGGACTAGCTTAACAGAAGCAAGAGTTCCCCGACCTCTGTAGTACTCTGAAGCCGTTACCTACATGCACAAACTGCAGGCAGGACCTCAGGCAGCTCCATAATGTTAACATGCTAGTGCCAATGATTATATGTTACGGAGTGCCTATGGTTCAAAACCATGTCCCTCCACATCAAAAAATTATCTAATTAGTGAGCAGAAATAGGCAAATTGCATTAATGGTTGTAATGATGCACACTAGAGGAAGCCACTAGTGTGCATCATTACAACGCACTTTAGCTTCTACCTCACTTCTCATTAAAAGATTATATCCCTCTGCTCTCTTCCTTTTGCAACAGTATCAAAAATGCATATGTTCTTGAATAGGCACGATTAGAGAGCCGAGTAAATTGTTGCTGCTAATAACAATTGAAATAAAGAGATGAATATTTAATTCGCCTCGACTGCCACTTTTGCTGTTCATTTCGGATTCAGCATTCTACGTTCTACGTCATCAACATAGCTAAGTCTTCTTCATTGCAGTGAGTCGACAAGATTATAAACGAGAATATGTAAAATATAAAATAAGAAAATAAATCACTAATAAACTATTAATTTATTCAATAACAGCCAATTAAATTTGTTCTTTAGATATAATTACGTACCTTCCTAAAACCCAACATCTGCAATGTATTCGGCAATGCCCTGCTTAGATTGTAGATACAGACTTTGCCATCGCTATAAATAGCCCGGGCTATTACTACGTCGTCAACTTTTCTTCGCTTCTAGCTCTTGCTTCACTAGCATGTAGCACTCGCTTGATGACCTTGTCCATTGTTTCAAAATGTGATAGGTTATATCGCTATTGTAAAGTGCCTATTGCATTCATAACGTTGTCCTACCTCAGCAGATATTTGTATCTAAGAAATCATTTATCAGAAAATAAATTTATGCCGTGGGGGGGGGGGAAAATTGATTCTTCAAGAATGCAGTCATCTACAACGCAGCATAACTGTAACGAATAATCGTTGATCACCACCCCTTAACTGCAAGATAGCTGATGCCCTCTCTTTCTTCATTTCCACAGCCTAAATCATTTTACTATATATATATGTGTGTGTGTGTGTGATAAAACTGCTCCATTCTATGATAACTGCGTCATTATCCAATTGATAGTGAGAGTTGCAACGGATTGACGTCGGAGAGGACTGCGTCTTAACTTGAAGACTTACGTAGACTTACGAAGTTAGAACGATAGATCCATAAACCAAAAAACTTGCAGATATGGCCAAATTTCACAAATGATTTTATTTCTTCGATAATGCAGATTATCACTGTGGGTGCGCTATTGTATCCAAAGCTTTGCAAAGCATTCCCTGAAAATCTGATTATGTGGACTCTAATACACAAAGACTTTTGGACTGAAAATTTTTAAAGGACTTTGAAATATTATCAAAGTTGACATTTTGCAATTATGTGAGCAATTATTTGGTCAAAATTTCAGGATTTGTATTTTTCAAAGTATATCTTTTTTTTTTTTTTTTTTTTTTTTTTTTTTTTTGTTTGCTAATGCTTTAACGCTTTCTCTCTAAAAAAACTTTCTCTCTCACCCAGCCCTTTTCTTCTTGAAGAGGGGAATATGTGAAATATAAAACCTATCTTTCAAATAATAAATGTATAGCCCTTTAACTTCCATTTCATTCTAAAAATAACAGCAATAAATTTGTCTCCCTTAAGTTCTGATGCACACTTACCGATGAAGTCTCAACCCAAAATCCTGTAAATTAAAAAAGTGTCGTGTGATCTGAAATGGAATTCCTATAAAAGCTAAATTACGTCGTTCTTCTTCTCTGCGCTCGTCTCTTCTACTGATATCCGCTGTGTCGCTAGGAAAAGCTTGTAGAGACATTGGGTATATTTTTAGAAGCAAGAAAGATGAAAAATAGCAAACGCCTTCGCCGGGAATCGAACCACGGACGTCTGGAACACCGGCTCAGCGTGCAAAAGCACGGACCTCTGGAATATCGGTCCAGCGTGCAGAACCACTACACCACGAAGGCACGATAGGAAGGAGGGAGAAATACTTTATAAGTTCACTTTTCTAAATTTGTCCATTGTTTAATATGTAAGCTGAACAAAATTGTGGGGTGCATAGCGTACCCACAGTGATAATGTGCATTATCGAAGAAATAAAATCATGTGTGGAATTTAGGCTGTCTGCATTTTTTTTTTGGTTTATGCATCCATCGTTCTAACTACGCATCAAAGTCTTCAAGTTAAGACGCAGTCCTCTCCAAAGCCAATCCGTTGCAACTCTCACCAAACTATCAAATAGATAATAACGCAGTTATCATACAATGGAGCAGTTTTATCACATATATATAGACAGATAGATAGTTAGATAGAAAGAGAGAGAGATGTAGAAATAGATGTTAGAGTCTGAAAGGAATCCTATGAATAGACTGAAAATTAAAAGAGTTGAAAAGCGGGGTATGATATGAGAAAGCACCATGTCTCGTCAATGAAAAACAGCCGAATATGAGCAATACGAGCTATTTAAACTGAGACGAATGATTAGGCTGATAAAAGGAGGATTTTCCTATTATGAAATCGCAGCTTGCATGGGACATGATACTTCATCAGTGAGTGAGTGAGCTCCACCAATGAAGATCACTGACCTGGCTTTAGCCTCATAGTGCGTTATTCTTCCTGGCAGAAACCATCCACTCTCTGCTCCACGCTGCCCCGGAACCGCAGCCAAATAGACTTCTAACAGCCTCATAAAATCTACATGTAAGCTTGGATGTTGTTCGGTGAAAGAGTATTCTGTTAGGAACTACTTAAAATTAAGCAAAGAAGCAATCAAAAGATTGTTAAGAACCGCTGTTAGAATAAACAGAAACTTGTGTTAGACAAAGTAAGGAAAGGAGGAATCTGCCTGAAAAATTAACTGCCGTGGACTGTCTGGACTTGTCATATGTCTACATGCGGATGCTAATCCTGACACAACTGCTATATATTTATTAAGCTGTTTGTAATATAGTTGTTCTTGCATGAAGGAAGGTCGTAACCTATTAAATTATTGCACATAGTAAACTCAAAAAAAAAAAAGAAGAACACATTAAATTTTTTAAAAAAGATTAAAACAAATCCTAGCGCCCAAACGTAATTTAACGCAGAATATTACTTTCCATGTGTCTGACTCTTATGAAACACATTTAAAAGATTGTGTACCTGTTATCACTAAGATAACAAATTCCTTCAAAATTTAGTTCTTTGCGTAAACTTGACCTGGAGTTTTACAAATTGAACCGTGCCTCTACATTTTCTTTTGTGGTACTTGCAGATAATATAATACATACATAAGTACAAAACTGAATATTAAAAAAAATGATACTGAGTACAGAAATACAGAAAGCTGATCCCTAATACCTGCATACATAATACATGAAGGCCCACCAGCGGCCGAGCGGTAAAGTCGCTGAACACTGGTAGTTCGGTTCGAGGTTCGAATCCCGCGAACGGGCTGGCTGCATGGGCGTTTTCGTGGTTTTCCCCATGTGTAACGTGTATATGAGCCAGTTTCCCTTAGAAAGTCCTCCGCGAAAGGCATCCCTCCCTTTAGGCAGATAGCCCTCGAGGCTTTGCCATAATCACACACACACACACACATAATACATGAAAACTAAAACTGATAAACATAATACATAAAACTGATCATTAAGTAATGCTAAGTAGTCTAAATCATTGCCAAGTACGAATTAACCTTCATAGTATATGCATAAAAGTAATAAATACACACATGAGTACATTAAAGTGAACATAAACAAAAAAGTACAGCATAATACTATACTCATCAAAACTGATATCTGATTCCTAAAACTTGAATATATAATGATAAGCTCTTATTATTACTAAGAAAACAGACCGTACCTAAATTAATTCCATTGCTTCATCAGTCATGCACGTGTGCAAACAATGAGCTTCGGTCAAGTTGGAAATCTGGCAGTGGATCACAAAATCTTACATTAATCAGGGATGATAGGCATCTCATCCGCATAACAGTAATGGACCATGCAGCTTCATCGCGATGCCTAGACATTGGAATGCTGCTACAGATATGCCACTGCCAGCTTTAATAGTTCGTTGCGTAATACTGCTGCGCTGCGTATTGTGTACGTGCATTTCTTTGTGCAGGACTCT